GTTCTTAATGCTAAGTGGGAGGTGTATTATGAACTAAGTGACAACGAAATATATTTTCTCATGTATATTTACCCATACGATGTATCTTCGTAATCGTTATCATCCATGTCGTAACATAATTTATTGGATAAATGTTGTTAGAATTAATTATAATTGACACAGTGAGTAAAAATATACTGACTCCGTGTGTTATTTCTTATTCAAGATTTAATTTGCAATTACAATGAACACTGTAATAAATTATTACGGTATAATTTAGCACTAAAGTGTGTATGAGCATGGTGAGATTGCCGGAAATCCTTGAGCTATTAATTTTTCGACGAAATTTTCTGTTAAATAAGTACCTAATTTACTTATCTCTATTGCTATTTTATGCCGGTTTACAAATTACGACTAAATTATTTATAAGCTGGATGGATAAATATGCCATATGCAACAGACGTTGCACACGGTAGCCCGGATGTGTCAGATCTGAATAATAATTTCTATGTCTTAGGTTGAACTTTTGGCGAGTACCTATCAATAATTGCGAATTAAAGCAGATTTATGGCGACGAAAACATAGTAGGTAAGGTAACGGTACATTTTATGAGGAGCGAGTTTACCCATCAGAGAAGAAGGTTGTTAGAGGGCACTTTACTTCTAACGCCGTCGTTACTTTAATTACATATAATTTAAAATTGCAGTAATTTATAGCTAGTTCTGTCGAAGTCTGTATTTATCATAAGTATACTATTAACACTAACAATTCTAGACCTAGCAAATCACTACAATTTGGAGGCGACTCCGGGGCGGCAGGTATAATAGAAGAACAGCTATGGCGCCCTTGTCCAGCTAAACTTTTGTTACTGCTTTAGAACTAGGACGAAATTAAAAACGCATCACTTTTTGCAGTTAGTTATAACGACCCTATTAACTAAACAATAGAATCTATACGTTATTATACTGAAAATCAGGTAGTTTCTTTAAAAGTGAAATACTTACAGATGTCCAGTTCTTTTGTCTTTAAACACAAAGAGGGTAGTTTTTCAAACACATTCAATAAACTGCAACATATCAGTGTACCAACCTTATTCTTAGCTTTTTATTGTCACTTGCCTCTTAATTTCTACAGAAAAATGTCCGAAAGGCATCAATCAAATGATTAGTACAAATGAAAAAGTAAAAATCTCAACTGTGCATCCCTGAAACAAAAGAAATAAATATTCAAATATGACTAATGTTTGGGTATTCTGTAGTGGATGGTTCAAATTCGTAGCTCACCATTGGGATTTCTGTAAAGGTGAGAGAGGCAGTGTAGGTTAAATGAGGGCAACTGCCACCTTTGTGATTGAAAAAATCATTTGAAATTTTTGAAAAATCTTTGAAAATAACTGAGATATCGCCTCAAAAATGTCAAATTTCCTTTGCTTCCCTAGCTTTAACAGTCCGAAATGGACGATTCCCGTTAGCACTTTCTATGGGCACTATTTTGTGGAGAATCTGACTGTGTTCAGTTTCTATAACACGCTAGATGTAGAGGCTACATGATACTACTTTCGTATTTCTTATGCACACCATGTTGGATTTTTATGGAATTACATAGAGGACAAGAAAAGAAATTCACTTTAATGCGCCATTTAGACACCTTGATTCGGCAAGATCTAGTTACTCGCGGTTGTTTTGTTGAAAAATGAATGTAAAACATTTGATTTTGAAATTGTTTGGATGAAAATGATCAAAGTCCTCGTGTGAGATCGAAGGGACTTCAGCGCATTTTTGTGTGGCAGATCAGTGTTTTATTAGCCAATATTGACGCCACCATCAATAAGATCTTGCCGAAAGCTACCACGTTCACTTTGTCGGTACCATTTTCTCACTTACCGTGCACTGAACAATTCGCGTTTGAAGTTTTGACTCCACCATCAGTAAAATCCTTTGGGGGTTACCATATTCCCTTTGTCGACACCCACTTCTGATCACCTCTTCGTTGGTAACCTTAAAATGTACATACTTCTTTGTAATAAGAGCGCTAATTATAGACGAATGCAACAATCGTTATTGGAAATTACAATGTGATAGTGATATCATCTGACCCTAAAGAAAGATGCACTTCAAGCGTAGGTACTGATGTAATGAATTTAACCCAAGGTTACGCACTCCTACATCGAATGACTTGCGGAACTGGATATAACTTACGAATGATAGTGATAGTGATATCATCTGACCCTAAAGAAAGATGCACTTCAAGTAGGTAGATGTAATGCAAATGGCGGGTACTTACGATAAGCCAGAAAAAACGCAATATAAATCCTCACTATATCGGAGTCATGGGCAAATAATCAAACAATATTACCGGAATCCCTAAATTAAGAATTAAATCACCTAAATTTTGTAAGATATTGGTGGCGGCAATTAAAATTCTATGCGTTTTCAAATTAACACCTCAGCTTGCAATCGAAAAAGGAAAATGAATGTGAACAATCGATAACCACTAATCGCAAGGCCGCAAAAATTGCGTGTATAAATTTTTCGACGATAAATGGAGTCAAGGTTACGACTGATGCAAAGGTAATTCAAGAATTCGCAAGAACGAGTTGACTGTCTCGATCTTTCGTTAATAGTTGTCGGACAGGTCTTTCGCAACGGTGGCTACTCAATCAACGGCTTCCTTCTACGAATGCAGATTTTCATGCGGTACGGTACAAAAACTTCTTCCGGACCGGACCAAAAAACCGCTACAAGAAGAAGCGGATGACTCAAATTAAATTAGCTAGGTACCACTTGTTGCATCTGTAAGTAACCAACAAAATTACCGCGTGCTTCCAAAATATACCCAATCATGCACAAAAAGGTTAATCGGCTTCCGGATAATACCCAAACTGTTTTCTGCAAACCAACCAAATGGATGTCCCGATTTCTAACCGGTTTACATTAGCAACAATTTACAAGTGCCAACCACAATTACAAAATCGCCATCTTCTACAAGAAGGTCTTGAATGGTACAACTCCGAAAACTCACGAAGACAGCAAATCAATAATCACATTACGGACAAAAATCATACAAGGATACAAAATCTCAACTACGCTTTAAGGTCGCATCCAGCCGTTACAGTTCATATAACACATACTTGTAAGTTTTTTTAATTTGTAACCTTTTCTTTCATGAAACGATACTCTTGATTTTTTTACTCCTTCAAACAAAGGGTACTTATTTGTAAATTGGTTTGAAAGTACACCGTGTTTTCAAAGCTGAGAACTTTATTATGAATTCCTAAGCATTTTTAGAACAGTTTATTATGTGGACTTTATGTCCCATAAATTATGGATTTGTCTGGTTTGTATTACAAAAGGCAACTGGATTTGCCGAAAATGTTGAAAGAAGAACCAATTTAACTTTACCATTGTAAGTCCTATATGGAAGAGCTATAACAAGGCCTTAACCTACTTGTATTTGTTTCGTATACAGGGTGGGGTGTCATGTTGGCTAGTAGGTATGACTAAAGAATTGAGAGGTAGGGAGGATCAAATAAACCGAAAGCCCAAAACGGAGCGTGTGGGGACCACTGAGTCGCCCTCGCCTATACGGAATGTAATCAGGAGTAAATGCCCCCGGGCCGAGTCTTGTATTTATATCAGTTAGGAACATACGTTGGGCAAAAAATATGATTAATACTGTTGATAATATTCATTTGGTCTATTCTTCTGTATGTATATCTTCAGCTTTAAATCTCCAATGTTAATTCACTTATAACCATATTAGACTGGTATTTACTGCATTCCCTTTCTTTCAGGTTCTTTGATTATATGCATCTCTGTTAAGATCCTTTAATTGAATCAAGAATACCACCAAAATTAATTATTTCTGCGTCTTAATCACTGGATAATTAGTTTAATATCTATGTTGTGAAATTAAAAGCAAGAAATACCGGGATGCTTGAAACTAGAAAGCAACTGATACTTCGTTGTATCAGCTGAAAATGAGTGATTTTCAGTTTCTTCCCATAAATTCGAGGAGCTGGACTCGAATTAAGCGGTCAAGGTTGTTTAAGTTTACATTTTTATTTTATTTAACGAAGACTTTCTGGGAATTGTTGGGTCTTTATCTCTTATCAATTGTAAATGCTTAATTTAATTGACAGGTGGGTGTTATTTATTGTTCTTTCTGTTGTAGTTAAGAGAGATGAAATTTTATTTTTTCCTAGAATTTGAATTTGGATTTATCTCTTAATGTTTGATAACAAATTGATTTTTAACAATTTTTCGAACTTTATTTTTTGGTCTATTAACGTACGTTGGGGAGATAGTCTTTGTTGTCAACTGTGTATGAGTGGTTGTTATAATTTTGATTTTCGGAACAAGGGTTTCGCCGTAAATAGGACGTTAACAAAAAAAGCGTCGCTTTTTGCCACAGTCAACGCAGAACTACGTTTCTTTGAAAATTTAAATCAGTTTTTTTGCTACGTTCAGAGCAGAGTTACCTTTCGTCGAGCGTTTCGTTGAAGATTTGAAATCAGCTTTATGCCAAGTTAAGGGCCATAGTGCGGCCAATTTAAATCAGTTTTTGCCCAGAGTTTACTGAGTACCAGAGTGTTTTGTGTACGGTTTTTCTGGCCTACGGATCAGTGCACACAGCAGTATAAATCTTGAGAATAGACGAGTAGATTCACAGACTGCTTGTGATGGTTGCAAAATCAGTGTACATCTACCATAGACACCCAAAAATCATTTTAGTGGCACCGTTGAACCTTCAATCGATGCTTCTTACCGTATTCGAGTAAGCAAGTAGAATAGTAATGATCATAAATTATCCTCCCATTTTAAGATAAAAGTAAAAAACATGACTAAAGTGGGTTCAGTTCGCGATTTACTTAACGTAGGAGCGTTGAGTGACCATCCTTCAGCTTCACTCAACGGTAGGAGGTAGTTAAGCACGAATAAAGTGATTGTAGCAAAAGAGTTACGGTTACTAGGTTACTACACAAACGGACATAATATAAACTTTACGATAAAAAGAGAAGATAACTGCTAAAATTTTAATTATTTACAAAATATATAAACTCAACAGATCAGTTAATGTCAAACTGTCTCGTTATTGCTTTTCCCTGCGCAAACACACCATTTTGTAAACCAAGTCCACAACTTATTTTTTCCCAATGTATCGTCTTCTTGACCGCGTTTACTTTCTTCGACTTCTTTTTTATCTGCAGCTACAAACTGCAGTTCTTCATCTGGATTAGGCTTGGCGCCTAGATCGATGACTTCCATGGCATCTTCGATAGGCATGTGGATCACATTTTCTTGATGAGCATTTTCCAAATCTATCGTTTGGATTAAGGTTTCTTCGCCTTCTTCCAATTCAGCCTGGCGTTGTTTAGATTTTTCATCGACCATTAGATATTCCGATATTACGTCTGGGGAATTTTTTAGCAAATCGGTCAGTCGAGATTTCTTCTCTATTCTACGTTTAGGTTGCGGTTCCAAAGCGATTTTATTATCCACGGTTTCACCGAGTTGGTCACCAATTCCTCTTTTTTGAGAAAACATTTCTACTTTCGTCACGTTGTTTTCCTGTAAAATCTCAACGATTATGTTTACACCGTAATTAGTAACAGTCACTTTATCAAAAATGACACAATCGTTCAAGTTTTTGCGCCAAGAATTGTACCAGAACTTTACGGGAATTAGCACGATTCTTGGTATGAAAGCATGTAATGGAATTTATACACGTTTTGAGCTGCAAAACGCCAACCAACAGTAATTTTACTATAAACTTTAAATTAAGCTGTATCAGTTTCGTAACTGGAACATAAACATGGCATATTTCAAACTGACAGAACGGTTTTTACATACTTGATCGCACGGTCATATTTCCTTTTTTGACAGTGAAACATGTAATATTAGAACTTAAAGATTTTTTAATGGAAAAACATTCAAAATTGCGTGCACTTAACAAAAACGAAGAAGAAATTTATTGTGTTAATTATGACGAAGTCTCGAATTCTCCTCCAATTTGCAGTAATGACGTTTCTCAGTCAATCGGTCTGTCTATAGAAGTGGAAATAGCAGACAGTTTAAAGAATGTAATGTCGCGTCCTGAAAAACACAACTCTTCGCTTTTGGATGTTACCATTGTTCGCCCGAATCACTTAAATCGATTCTCTGGAAAGCAAAGTGTAACCATAAGAGGCAGCGAAATCCAAGATTTGATATTGCGCATGGAAAAACAAAAGCGGGAAAAAGAGTTATTAATTGCAGATCTCAAAAGAGTTCAAGATACTCGTATAACTAAGAAACATGAAAAGAAGCGGAAACCTAATCTGAACGCGGTGCGAAGTAATAACGCCGTTGCAAGTGACAATAAAACGAAGCGCATCTCTGAAGAGAAGCCTTTTGTAAACTCTGCACCCACATCAATCCTACAGCCACTCATGGGTCAAATTAGAGAATCATTACGACACTTAGAAGAAAGAATTTTAGCGGTCGGAGATCATAAAGAGAACATAACTCAGCCTAAAGCACAGCCGCATTCTTTATTAAATTGTGACTTGGTGGATGCGCTTCCGAGAAGAAAACAAACTAAAAAACATATGCGTAAACTTCAGGGTAATGTGCACGAGCGCAATCACCACGTCTATACGACTGTACACACATTCGACCGGTTGAAAACGTTGCTATCTTGTCAAAATGCAAACGCGCGCGATGTTGAGGACGACAAGCCTTGTCCATGTCAACACTGTGGAATGGTTCAACTTCTAGTAGAATCGCAGAAACGACCTATAATGCCCACTCTTCCTCTGAAAACTCCATCTGGAGTTTGGCCTCAAACTGAAAATCGGGAAGATCAGGAATCAAGCGAGACATCCTTGGAAGATCCGTACAATATCATTCGGGAGTTGGCACTTCGTCTCAGAGCTTTGGAGGAGCGCGTCGCCCTTCAAGAACGTTCTACCGTCCCTAAAGACTACTTTAAACGAGTCATCAAAAGAATTCTCGATTTACAGGCCACAATATCTCAACGCAACCAGTGCGATGTCGGTGCCCATACTGCAGGTACTCAGTATAATTTCAATCAATCTGAAGAATTCGATCGGCGCAGCAGGAGTAAAATACGACAACGCAACGTACAAATACAACAAGGGTATGCGAAACGCTATTACGTAAGCCCAATGTTGGAAGAATCATCAAGTCAAAAAATATTTTCTGCAATTAGCAGTCTTTTTCCTAATCTTAACTATGAAAGGATCAATGATTGCTTTCTGAAATGGGGAAAAGAAGCTATTAATCCGGGAGCGGACTTAAAAGCTAAAATTATTGACCTTCTGGACGAAAAATTACTAAACAGTTCAAACTTAAAAGAAACTTTGAAACCCAGTACTTCTTCTGGTGAGACTTTAAGAAAACTGCTGGAATTGTTATCTACTCAAGATAAACTTCCTACAGGGGTAGACAATGAGGTGGATTTTTCAAAGTTAAGCTCGGAAATTGGAAAACCAAATTTAGCGAGAGGCGTTTTGGATAAACATTCCAAAAGGCATCGCTCTGGTATTCCTATAAGAATCGGAAATATATCTGTTGGCGATGCTTGCATCTCAACCCCGAAAAATGAAACCCGCAGCGCCCGTATTTCAAAATTAAAGACAAATAAAATGGACAAAGACACTAACGCTGATGAAGCTAAACTTACCAGTGAACATGTTGTAAGAGTGACTTACGTAAACCCTCATGTGAAAACGTGGAAAGACTTGTCTTCGAACTCTGAAGCTGAAGTTTTAACAGGAATACAGGAGATGTCATTGCGTTCATCGAGCTCGTTTCAGTTACATTCTGCAAACACTGAAAACAAAGAACAACCCACTCGGCTTCTCAAAAACTATTCCCTTTCAGGTATATGCTTGTACGGACGTAATTAGTGTTAAAAATGATATCATTGTCAACGCACGTAACCCATTTTTTGCTTTCATTTTCAGAGAAGTTGAAGCTCCTAAAAAAGGTGGCAAGTTCCGAAATAACTAAATTAGAATTGTGGACTTACATTTGGAATCAGACCAAAACGTACTGCAAGTCAAAGGATGACACCATTATCGTACAAGTTCCCACACGGAAGGAAAAAGGACATGCCGAAATAATTGAAGTGGAATTTACTATAGAAGATGTACAACAGTTAGTTGAAAATCCGAAACTGTTGACCACAAAAAGAAATTCCAATCATTCCTCACATCCTAAAAGTGTTAAGTCTTTGTTATTAATAAAACGTAAAACGGCAGTTAATAAATGAGTCTGTGTAGACGTCTTATGTGTCTGTTGGGACTAAATCCAATACTTGAATTTCCAATTCTTTGGTTATACGCGGAAGGCTCGGTATACACAAAAGGTTAGACGGAGAGTCAGTGCCAAAAAAAGGTCTCTGAATTTAGTAATGTTAGTTTTTGTATAGTGCCTAGATTGATTCTGTTTGTGGTATTAAAAGTTTCACCAAAATGTGGCACAGGGTAACGAAAACCACAAGTCTCTATTTTTAAAAACAGCTGAGATACACTGCAGTTTCAGCCACCATCCTGTTAAACAGTTTCCAACTTGTTTTTTGTTGTTGTATTGGTAATAAAAAATTCTACTCAATACAGTATTTACTTTTACGGGCCATATAAAAATATAGGTATTGTTGATGATAATTTCTCCAAAACAAAACGTTGCAGTGACAATCTCTCACGAGTGTCTTGTAGAACTCAATGAGAAGGTGTTTTTGAAGTTGAAGTTTTATTTATTTCCAATAGATTACATAAATGTAATATAGGACATGTCCAAATTTACATTGTTACATATAAAACATACAAGACGTTACAACGAATTTAAATATGTTTCAAGGGAATAAAATTCCTTCTCCAGTAGGTATGATATTAATGCCCGTTTAAAGCTTCTTAATGTTGTTAGAGATTAATCATTTCATTTTGTTGTGTTTCTAGAGCCGTCTGAAACCCCACCAACTCAAAAATAAAGGCAACATAAATAAATAAAAAATAAAAACGAAAAGTTTGACTTTTTGGGACGTTATCAGATGATCTGACTACCCATGTAAGATTAAAAAAAAGGGAAAAACTGCCTATTTTAGATATTGTTACGTAGAATCCAGTCGCATAGTAAAAAAACTTTTGTACAATCGTTTTTGAGGTTTGACCCGAAGTTGGTATTTTTTAAATGCAACACCCTATATATTTTAACGTCAATTTTAGTGTGTTATTTTTCCTAATTACATTTATGTAACACAACCTGTATTGTTTTAATTTGAGCGATGAAAATCAATAAAAACCTTATTTTTTACTCTTTTTAAATAGTAGGCCATGGATTCATTGAGATTTTGATTTGTTTATTGTATCCTAGGTAACTAAGGCAACCGACATTAGTCAATAAAAATTGTTGACGGTAGAAACATGTCTTTTCAACATTTTGAAAAATATGATATAATAAAAAAAATAGAATGATACATCAATGTAATCACAAAATAGAATTCAAAAAATTGTACGTTAAAGTATACAGAGTGTTGCATTTAAAAGATACCAAGTTTGGGTCAAATCTCAGAAACCGTGGTAGACCATTGTTTGTTACTATGTCACTACTAGATTCTACGTAAAAGTATCTAAAATAGGCAGTTCTACCTTTTACCACCCGTACGTTAGTAAGGGAGGTATTGCATCGGGGTAAAAAATTACCCTCCACTTTTTTTTTACAGAAATACACGTTTTGAGGTACCAGGAATCCGAATCAAACAAAATTTCGATGTCATTCTGTCTGTGGGTCTGTGTGTACTCTCATTTCCGGGAACCAAATTTGGTACCCATATTCTTAGCCTTAAAAAAGGGCTGTATTTTTTCGTGTTATTGTTTTTTATCATGTGACCCCCAGCTATATGTGGAAACCTTAAAATGTCCCTTGATGATAAATGAGTTTGACATGCCCGGTCTAGCTCTAGTACATAGTATTGGTGACAGTCGGAAACGTTATTTTACAGTGACCAAGTGCCTTCACGACAGCCTAGCTGTCACTGGGGATTCTGAGAGTTTTGCTCTTTATGCTAATCATAAGAACTTTTCCTGTACTAATAGTTCTACCAATTCTAACTGGAACACAGTAGGAAGGGTGACCGGACATTAATCCGCCAGACATTAGGACGCAGACAATAGGACGTCACTGGGCCGCACCCGCAATACAAGAGACCTCAAAGGAAATAGGCCACAGACATTAGGGGACATTAGGAGGCAGACATTAGGACGTCGTCTTTGGGATGCGACCATTGGGACGCGGGTAATAGGACGCAGACATTAGGAGGCAAACTTTAGGACGCGGGCATTAGGACGTGGACATTGGGACGCGGACATTGGCACACAGATCCTAGGCTAGGACGAGACTGTCCAGCCAGATCGGCATAGCTTGTAAAATAAATTTCTAGAATCGGAATTAGTTTTACTTTCATTCGAGTTGCCTATATATTAAAAATTTCATTTAAATATCTTAACAAATGAAAAATTCGGATCCCGCAAATACTAAAAATCGGTTACGCATGCACAAATTTTTTTGCATCTGTATAGTTGCTTGATATTTAAGGGATATTTACTAATACAAAAAAACGGACATTTATGTTCTTTGTAACAGGAATTATAAAAGAATAAGACCTAAACCATTTTTAATGAAAATTTAAACAAAAGTTCAAAAGTTGAAGGTTTTTGGAGGAGCTAAAAGATGACAACAAAATATACAGGGTGTTCCATTTTAAAAAAAGTGAAATCTTTTAATATGAAGTTTTGTAACTTTGAATGTAGAAAGAAACACCCTTTAAGCAATTTTTTTAATATTTTATAGTAGATGTATTTATTTGACTTTTACTTAACCCAAGATAAAAGATATCAAACCTGGAATCAAAATTTAAGTAATAATTTTGACAATATACTGACGCTCGCAAATGCCCAATTTTTCGTAAAAATCGAATTATCTTTAAAACTACTAGCTTTCCGGATATTAACCATATAATAAAAAAGACGTACAGTCACACGTAGAATTCAAAAATGCATTCAAATACAGGGCGTTCTATTTAAAAAACGTACCATTTTGGCGCCCTACTTTGAGGGCGCACCCTGTATAATTCCAAATATTTTTAAAATGTGGAGAATATTCAACCATATCATAATACAAAAGCGCTCTATCGAAAAATCTTATCTTCAAGGCATTAAGTTACTCCGCGCTCACCCTGTACAGAGTCAAACAATATAAGGTTAACTTTTTTTAAATATTTACTGATGTTGCTACTTTGACCAAATCTCATGTCAGAAAATGTAAACTTCGTACTTGTTGTACAACAAAATAACGCAGTCTGTTTTTCTTACTTTCCTTTGTATTGTAACTCTTTATGAACTTAAAGTAAGTTGATCTTTTCCATCTTTCGGTAGACAAAATGATTCGTAAATTTACTTGCTTCATTACCCAACATTTGATTACGGTGATTTCAAACACTGTTGATGCTTGTTCATGTTATCAGATTAAAAGGTTTCTCTATATATCGTTTATATAGCAGACACGTGTTTGTGCACACCGACGGTATTAGTATTTTATTGACACGCTAAAATCTATACCTGTAATAATTACATATTTCTCTTTATGGGTAGATATTAAATAATGTTATAATTAAAGTACTAAACATAGTGCATCTATAAATTATCGAGTAAATAGAGGCCGTTATGGTTCATGTATTATTTATGACAGTATACATAATTCATTCTTGCAAATATTCTATTACCAGTATAACCTTTGCGGCGTTTAATTAATGTTTGCTAAGTTTAGTTCGAATTTTATTACGTTATAAATTTGCAACTTTTATTACGTATACATTGTTATTAACTTATAAGCAATTGTTAACAGCGCTGCAGATTAACATAAATTCTGTTTTTGACACGAAGAAATCTAAATGAGAAATCGCTGATGGCCTGTACTTAAGGAATGATGAACAGTCGATTACTGTTGGTCGTAACATGTAACTTGTGGCCTCGGATATGTGATCAAAATCGCGACACTGTAATTTCGTGGGCAGCTAAGCTGTGATTTTAGAAAATAGCTCCTCGGGGAAATACTAGTGATTTCTTTCTATACCCTGTGATTTCAAATATATTGGCAGTCGGCAACAAGATGTAATAAAAATGCCGCAAAGGACCCAAACACTTTGAAAGGTCGGAAACGTATTAAGTGACTTCGTGGGCTCTAGTCAGCCTTGTTTTCTCGTTATAACTTTTTATAACTTTAAACATATCTTTTGTATAGGAAACTAAAATATATTGACATTAACTTTGGTTGAGTTGATGTTTATGATTAATAAAATCGCTTTTAACTTCGTTTAAAATTGCTGTTTTAAACTTCCCTACAAAAAATGCAATCATGCGTAACATTTTCTAGGCGTTCTGCTCCATTAAAAAGTTTTAAAGTAAGAAATGAACTAAAAAGTGATTTGTATACACAATTAACACCAAATCTACCAATAGTCCATAAGGAACATATCATATTTAAAGAAGACACGTAAGTTTGGTACACTGATTCTGTTAATTAATCAATTATCCTATTTCGAAAGACAATTAAGGTGCAAATTCAAGAACTGCAACGTCCTAAACACGTTAATTTATGACCTTTTGTAGAGATTTGTGCTTGTTTATCGCATGTTGTGGGTGAATATGAAACAGGGGATTTTTTTTCTGGGTTGTGATTAAAGTTCGTCTATGAATTGTGCTCGCTTTATGCTAATTTAGCCTCCTTTGTGCGCAGTGATTAACGGGCAAAAAGGTGTTTTCCTGGTGTTATATCTTCAAGCAAAATATGGCTAAATTTGGCATACGAAGTGTACTCTTTATGCAATTCGAACAAATATTGTGTGAAGATACCTTGGAATATTTATATATAATTTCTATACGTAGCGTAGATCATAAACTTGGAAGCAACATTTACTTTGGTTGTACAGACTTTCAAAAGCATTACCATGATGCCGAAAGTAGCTGATAGTTGGAGTTTTTCGCAATAAGTATATTTGTTAAGAAACAGTCTTACACAGATGGTGTTTTACAACAAAAAATTGTTCTTTATAAAAAGTCCTGCTCGTTTCAAAACTCTAAATGCATCACCATTTATTTGTTCTCTAGAATGCAATGTTTTCAAATGAATTGAAAAAAAGCTGCCCTGCAACGTTAAAATTTTACCAGTACACAATTGACCGATATAAAATCAGATAAGTCTTGAATGATCTTCTAC